TGTTGGAGTCTCACTCTGTCACCCAGACTGGAGTGCAGTGGCCGCTCCCGGCCACCGCAGCCTTGCCTTCTGGGCTCTGGCGAGCCTTCCGCCTCAGCCTTCTGAGTAGCCGGAATTACAGGCGCATGCTACCACGCCTGGCTAATTTTTTGATTTATTGTAGAGATGAGGTCTCGTCTGTCCAGGTGGATCTTGAACCTGTGGGCTCAGGCAACCCACTCACCTTAGCCTCCCAAAGGTGCGGGTTTACAGGCTGAGCCACTAAGCCCGGCTAAAAATTTCTTTATGTAGACTGTGATTCTCTATGAGAGTAATTGGGAATAACAGTTTCTCTTGCAAAAGGAAATGTAGATATCTTAATTAATTCTTCTCTTTTTTGCTTTCAGGTGAACAGTGTGAGAGAGCTAGACGCCTTCAAGCTAAAATGATGACTAATTTGGTTATGGCCAAGGACCGTTTACAACTTCTAGGTATCAATTAATGTATTGTATACTTTGATATGAGATGCGTTGGAAGCGTGTTCAGTAAAACTTTAATTGTAAGCCGGGCTCGGTGGCTCAGCCTGTAATCCCGCGCCTTTGGGAGGCTGAGGTGAGTGGATTGCCTGAGCCCGTGGGTTCGAGACTCGCCTGGGCAGGCGAGACCTCATCTCTACAATAAAATCAAAAAAATCAGCCGGGCGTGGTAGAGCACGCCTGTAATTCTGGCAACTTGGAAGGCTGAGGCGGAAGGATCGCCGGAGCCCAGCGGGTCGAGGCTGCAGTGGCTGGGAGCGGCCACTGCACTCCAGTCTGGGCCACAGAGTGAGACTCCAACTCAAAAACAAACAAACAAACAAACAAAAAACTGTAATTGTAGAGAGAAATAGCCCAATGATTGAAAATGGGGTCTAGGCTTTTTTTTTTAACTTATGGTAAATGTCTAACATATAGAAAAACTCAAGAATATAATGAAATAGTTATTTATTGCTCAGCTCTGGTAATTATCAACTCACGATCAGTCTTTATCTATGTGTACCAAGGGCTGGTAAATTGCAGCTCATAGGCCAAACCCAGCTCTTGATTATAAATAAAGTTTTATTGGCACACAGCCATTGGCATTTCTGTACATATTGTATATATGGCTCTCATGCTATACTGGCAGAGTTGAATAGTTGATAGAGCGACCATGCAGCCCTCAAAATGTAAAACATTTACTATCTTGTCCTTTATAGAAGAAATCTGCCAAACCCACTTTATATCCCTACTCAGTCTCCCTCTACTCATATTATTTTGAAACAAATTCTTGAAGTCTTTTTATCTCATTCATGAACATTTGTATTGTATCTATAAAGGATGGGACTTTTTTTTTTTTTGAGTTGGAGTCTCACTCTGTCGCCCAGACTGGAGTACAGTGGC